CACCATTAATTATTAATAATAATCAAGCATATTTAATTGATAATTTTGATTTAATTAAACAACGTTATTCATCATTGGCTGATTTTCATCTTTCTCGTGGTAAGATTTTCTTTTTGTCTTTTTTTTTATTTAGTTCTCTATTAAAAAATTTCAGATGGCAAACAATTACGAATTACATTCAAACCACATAATATATTTGTCGTATTGGAAGCAATTACAAATGGTCGACATGGACAAAGTTGGAAAAGTAAGATTATTATTAGTTTTTTTGTTCAATAGATATCATAGAAAGAAATTTAGCTATTATGAATGTCTCACCAAGAAAGTTCTTCCTTTAACTGATAAGTTATTTTTCAGTCGAGACTATGTGAGTTTTTATGAGATATGAATATTCTGAAAAGACTTTGTGTCCATTGCTTATTGCTGTGGAGATATTGCACTTTTATGGTATTTTTCAAATGAATACCTTGGGAACGCCAGAAAAATTGATTTTCGACTTGAAACTTTGCATAGAGACAGACATTAACGAAAATAGTTTTCTATAAATGTTTAAGATCTTGTCACTGTTCCTATTCTAAGATATAAACTATAGTAATAGCATGTTTTTGACAATAGCTATTCCCATTAAAGTCTATCTCTATGCAAATTTTCAAGTCAAAAATCAATTTTTTTGTTATAACGACATTTGTTTAAAAAAAATATCGTAAAAGCGTAGTATCTTCTCTATAGCAATAAGCTAAGGACACAAACTCATTTCCGAATATCCGTAGCTTATAAGAATTCACATAGTCTCGACTCAAAATTAATTTTTATCCATTCGAAGATTTCTTACATCAAGAAAAAAAATTTCTTTAATTGTTTCTCTTTTTTTTAAAGTATAAAAAAATTTTGAAAATCTATTTTTTAGTTATTGATTCAATGCCTAGTCTACCATCATTTACTCAACTTAATACAATAATTCGACAAAGTAATAATCTTACAGCTGAACATTTATGTCTTATACGAGCATGTTTACTCAAACAACAAAACACAAATGAATAATAATATTAAAATATTTTTTGATTGTATAGAGAAAAATAAACTAGATAAAATGTTTCAATCACATTTTGTGTAAATAAAATTAAGATCGCATCAAATAGCAATATTGCCTAAATTTTATTTTTCTTTTATTCATCATAATAAGAATAATAATATCATTTGATTGCGAAGTGAATATAATATAAAATCAATAAGTTTACGTCTATAAATGAGTCGAAATAGTTCGAAGTCCTTTCGATTCTGCTTATATATACATATAAAGGATGTTTCAGAAGTTTTGAAACAATTTTAACATTCATCGTTCTTATATCTAGCAATAGCAAACGCTTTAAAACTTTGGCAAATTATTGTATCTACTTGGTATTCAATAACTATCAATTTTCAGATCTATAGTTTTTACTACAATTGAACAAACAGTAACAATACAATCATGTGTTATTTCATCAGAATATTCCAATAAGTTATATTGGTAAATCTTCTAGACAAGCTCCATTTTTTCATCGATAAATGATTTTACTTATGACAAGTATGCTAAATTCATTCGAATTATTGTAGCAGAAAAAGCAGGTAAAAATTTAGATGATTTATGAAATGTAATTTTTCAAGATCATCAACAACAGATGCAGGTGGCTTTGAATAATGTCGAAGATGCTTTTTTCAGCAAACTAAACCAAAAAATTGTGATGAAAAACTAGCCGAGGTTTAGCCCATGGGAAACGCGTTTTGAGTGCATTAAAAAATATATAACGAAGGCGGGGAATACAATAATATTGGACAACTGAAACATGATATAACAATATCTTCATGTCAACGAATAGTAGATAAAATATCATGACGACTAAAATTCATAATCGAATGTACAAATATTCATTTACTTGATCAGTGTTTCTTCTTATTCCAAAAAATTTTTTTCATTTCAAAATATTAACCGAGATAATCGGAAAAATCGATAAAATAGTACATGATCATGTTGGCACAGTTTCTCAACCGTAGTAAAACTCTCAGATCTGAAGCATTGTAGTTATTTAGTACCAAGCAGATACAATAACCTTCCAAAGTTGCAAAGAGTTTATTATTGCTAAATGTATGAATGATGAGTTTGTAAATCATTTGTGAAGTTTTGTGATACTTCTTAGATTCTGATGAAGATATACACAAAGATTGAATTCTGACAAATTAGATAAACTATTGTCTTAGTAATGTAGAATACATTACTAGATGATCATGATATACACGGATATTATTCTTGTTCTTAATACTAATACATTTAAACAACGTTTCTATTTTTTAAAATCGATATCTGTACCCAAAACGAACTATATGAAATCCATACTACGGCAATTTACGGTCATTTGTAAGCGTACTTATTTGATCTGAATATTTTTTAGTACTTTAAAAGAAAACAAAACGAATTTAAATTTAACTTAAAAACGATTGTTTCGATTACATTTCAGCATTCACATCAAGAAAATAGGAACTTTATATGAGATAGGCTTTGATTCAAAAAAGATGCATCAAATTATACAGATTCATAGGAATGGAATTTTAATATTCCTGAGAATGTTTACACATGAATATTTAATCTACTTCATTGTTTATTAGATTCTATATGACAAGGAAACATCATACTTGTCTACTTTAAAATGTATTTTGATAATCGTCTAAAAATACCTTAAATATAAACTATGCTGTTCTGCTTTGCTTGATACTATCATCATGGATAAGTATCCAAATATAATATATTTCAACATAAAGTTCTTCTTTAGTTTGCTATTCTATCATGATATTGCATTTCAGCGACATCTAATACAGATTTAATAATCATAATCAAAAGCAAACAGATATATTACTAATGATCCTAATTTTTTTTTATTAAAGACATATATATATATAGACAGAGAATATTGATTGTCGATTGTATAAATTTGTTACAAAAAAAAAACCGATCAAATATCGTGTTCAACAACAATAATCTAATATTTTTTTTTCCTTCCTTCGTGCATTTCACCAAGCAATCGCATGTCTTTACATTATCATGAACAACGTTCTACGTCGGTTGAAAGCAAAATAAGAGAAAAATAACTTTTTTTTTTAAACCAATAAGAAAATAGAGTAAACGTGAGCGTACATAGATACATAAGCCGAACTAAGTAAAAATGCGAAAGAAAAAGAAAGCCTAAAATACAAACAGAATAGAAAAATCTGGAAGGAAAAAGAAGAAAAATATATGTTGGGGGAGAGAAAGACAGGCGAAACAAAAAAAAATAACAATCATTCAAAGCACATATGACAGAACCAACAGCAATGGCGTCGATTGACGATGATGAACAACTATTAAATATAACAGTAGATAATTCGACGAATACTCATCGTCGATGTCCAACATGCCAAGGAACAGGTCAAGTAACAACATCGCCCGGTCTCGTTGCCTTAATTCCATTTGATGATGCTCGTCTTAAACGACGGCCTACACTTTTATGGATTATATTAACGGTTATTTTTTGTACACTTATTGCATCAGCTGTTATTGTTACTATTCTTCCACGTTCTGTACATTTATCTATCAAAAATCCAATTATTATCGATGCTACAAATGATACATTTCGAAATAACACTTTTTTTCGTTTGACATTTACACATCAAACACATATTCGATCAGACAATTGGGTACCAATACATTTAATTAATTTAACAACATCAGTTGAACATCAACTTTTACCAATTGGTCCTAATGCAGAAAAAGTTTATGGTCATAAAATGTTTTTAAGACCATTAGGTAGAATACAATCAAATATCACTGTACCACTTGATTTTGAGTCAAATACAATGGCGTATCGTGCTTGTCAAGGAACATTTCGACAAATGCTTTTATTTAAATTACAAACAACATTAACCTATGCGGATTTTCTTCTTGGTCGAATTCAAACAACAAATAATATTTCTTATCAATATGTGCTATGTAACAACGGAGAGGGGAAATCACATGAAAGTATTGTAAAAAATATTACTTAAAATGTTTGATGACAATATAACACTCATTTTTAAATACGCAAAACAAAAAAAAACAATTCTTTTTCAAAATTGTTGTTTTTTTAAGTGACATTCTTCTTTTGTTTTTTTTTTAATTCGACATATTCTTGTTGAATTTTCTTTCTTATTGATGAAAGACGAATGCGAATTGCAAAATTAAATTTAATAAAAATAAGACAAATTTTGTATTTTACAAATAATTCTTTACATCAAACAATAAAATAGTATTAAATTTCATTTGATGTCGATTCATTATCTTTTGGAAGATGAGAATAGGTCAATAGCAACCATTAATTTATATCACTATAAAATAATAAAAACAAAACAAAAACAAATTGACAATTCATAGAAATATTTTATCGAACAATAATTCTATGAATATTTTTGATAGTGTTCAAAATTATGAAAAAAAAATTGTATTGATATTTTAAAGATAGTCATATACCTAGTACATTATCATTAGAGCGTTGAAAAATGTAAATAATAAATTAAACTTGACACTATTTTCTACTTTACGTAAACAACATATTTCACATTCATAATTTCTAATACAGGTACCATAACCAAATTGATAAAAAAAAAACATTATAGTAAAAAATATAGTGAAATAAATTTCGATGAAATTTGATCTTTCACATACATTAGAATGTTCTGTCTGGCTAGATTTTCAGTTAGTAACTTAAAATTTAAATTTAAATCATTAGCTTTTATTCATAATTGCATACGTATTCTTGTAGATCAATTATTTTCAAAGTACCGAACCTCTATAATTCCGAATTTTTCTATGATGATATACACTCTCGTACATTATATTTATTGATCAAGGTACATGCATATTCGTCTGCATTCATCCATGACAAATAAACGAGAAATATTAGCATAAAAAAAAGCATGTAACATATGTATGAACCTTTGTCATGAAGCATAACTTAATGGTGAAATTATTACAATACTGTAATTTAAAATTAATAATTTTGTTTTTATTTGGATATATTTTAATAAATTTTTTTGCATCATATAAATCTTTTCCTAAAACAAATAATTATGATAAAATAATACATAATGAAAATGGACAACAATCAATTTGGACATATGAAATGAAACTTTTCTGTTTTAAAATTCAACAATATATTGATAATGAGAAAAAAGATAAATTATCGAATTTATTATTTAAACGTAACATTTCAATTATATCACCAAATTTAAACAAATATACTAAACAACAATCTAGAGAAATTTCTTATTATTATTCTAATTGGCGTTCTTCACCTGATTTACCTCGTCGACTTACTCCATGTGATCATCAATTATATATAGAACTACTTCGTATTCTTGATCATTTCTTTCGTCGACATAGTATCTCATATATGATGATAGATGGAACATTATTAGGTAAGAAAAACAAAAAGATTAGATTATAAATCATTTTTATTAACAAATAATTAATATATATGTTTTAGGTAGTTATACAAATCATGATTTTTTACCATGGGATGATGATGTTGATTTACGTGTATTAATGCGTGATCGTTCACGTATGTATACTCTTCTTCATCAAGAATTTGAACATACTATTAGAATATTAAATATTTCAAATGAATTTGGACGTTATGATATATTATATTTTCCTTGGTCACCAAAAGCTGGTATATACAATTGGTCATATCCTAATGTTCACATTACTTATTTAGACGAAAATTCTACACATGTTTGGAGAGAATATAATGATAACTATTCGATTCATGATTGTTCTATTTCTAAACTTGATATATTTCCACTTGTTTGGCGTCCATTTGGTCAAATATGGTTACCTGTAAGTTTTACTTTGAATTTTTCAAAAACAAAATATGGTTTTATCATACATATATGATTTATAGGCTCCTCGAGAACCTTTAGTCATTTTTGAATTACTTCAATGGAAATCATTTGATAAATTATATTATGCCAAAAATTATTCACATAAATATGAACGAGCAATACCATTTATAGATGGTCGTGCACGATTACATCAACTTTATCCATATTATCCTTGGGTGAAACGATATTGTTTAAAAACATATTGTATTGAACAACTTGTAGCAATTTACAATAATACAAATATTACAATACATACTGTGCAGTTTGAAAAATATAGAATAAAACCATCGTTTGATTCTAAATTAAAGAATAGAACCTGTTCGTTATAATAGAAACAAGACTTATTCATTTTGTTGTTGAAATTTTAATAAATAGTAAAATATTTGCATGAACAAATGAAGAAATAGTCTATGAATAAAGAATTATATGAATGTTAAAAAGTTTTAAATGACTTTAGGGATTTTGTTTATCAATGAAAATATATTTGAATTTTAAAATATATGATTCTTTCTTACGAATTCTTATTTATATCATGTTTAAATTAGAAGAATAAATTTTTCGATCTTTCATTTTGAATTCTTTTCTGTTCTATATATACTTCGAAGTATTCTCTATCTATTAGATATATTTCAAGAATTAATATATACCTATAAAAGTCGAAAAAAATGGAACATTTTCACTAGAAAACATCAAACTTTACACAGCATTTCATTGGTTTTTTTTTGATGAAAATAACTGAAAACCTCCATCCGTTACTCAACCACAGTACATCCGTTCGAGTTGAAACTTTCTTCTACTTACACTAGGAAATGTTTAGAGTGCCTATTCTTTTTTTTTTACTTCAAAATATAATGTATCGCTGGTTTTTGCCAGGTTTTATGAAAAGAAAATCATACATTTTTGAGCTGAGTATTTAGATTATTTTTTAAGAATAAACGAAAATAAAAAGAAACCATAAAAGTAAACACCTCAAACAGTGTCTAGTATTTGTAAAAAACTTTCAGTATTATCACATGTATTGCAGCTGAGAAAGTGGAACAACAAGGGAAAGAGAGCAGGTGTCTTTTAGTCGTTTCGACCGCGATATCTTCCAGAAGAAAGCGTTTATGAATTTTGAGCCGATGATAAATTTTTCTCTATTTATCTAGATCTATCTATCCTGACAGTTTTAAAATTTTCCGATACACTCTTCTTCAAAAGGGGCAGGTGTGTTCCATTCAAGAGTCAAATCATCTTACTAGATTTTTTAGTTCTTGATGACAATTAAAAAAAAAGAGACTTCTCATATTATTTAATTTCGATATTAGATTAAGTTCATCTTGACATTTTTGATTTGTTATTGGTAAATATATGTTGTTTTGTGAAATTGATAGAAGGCGCTCATATTTTCATTATAGAATATGCATAGATGGGCAGTTTATTGTCAAGTCAGTTCGGTTTCTCATCACTATTTCAGCATAAATCAAAACCACGTATTAACAATGGTCGTCGAACAACAGAAGAAGTATCAACATTAAATGACAGTAATCATACGTCGATAAATGATAACGATATTTCTTCAAGTAGTATACATTTTGTTGAAGAATTCGTACCCGAACGTTATTTAGTTTTACTTACCGAACAAATGACTGAAATGCTTTTTCGTTTAATGACTTGTAATGAAACATCAGTAATAATGTCTGAATGTGGATTTGATCATCGAATGTCATTAGGTATTAGTACTGGTAGTGGTAACATATCAACACCAAGTTCAAATTCTACCAATGGTCGATCTTCATTGCAATTACAATCAATGTATCAATCTTGTATTAAATGCAAAAGAAAAATGTTGACTATTGAAGAATTTCGTGAATTACACAGTTAGCATTTGTTCTATGTACGAACACTAGCTGTTCATATAGATTCAATCTTACTATATTCTGTTTGGTACTTTATCTGTCTGTTTCTTTCATAAATAATAAATGATTATATATGGAAACATAAAAGAAAAAATACGAAGAAAGAGAAAGGAGAAGATAGGTTTGGCTATGTAAGCATGGACAAGGAACAGATTAAAGGAATAAGAGAAGATCAAAGTAGCAACGAAACGAAAATATCGAGATATATGTTATAGATAGATTATGCTGTAGCATATACAATGCAATTTGTTGTGTTGATAGTGATCATGATAATTTTCTTACACACGAAATGAAATTTGAACGATATTCAACTCTTTATTTGAACTTACAGATTATGACATCAAACAGATTATTTTCAGTATTTAATACAAACAAATGCGGGTGTAAGTTATGGACGAGGGAAGGAGAGACCAGTGAAGCATGATGCCTCCTACTTTTGAAAATTGACCACACCGTGTCCGTTTTTCTGGGAGTCAACCATTCTGCTGCCTCGAGTGCTGAGCTACACCTCTACAACCAAAGACGATTGAAGATCATTTGAAGAATACATAGATATGAAGATAGTTCTATAGTAATAAGTTGATGTAGTCATTTTTTAGAAGAGATGATACATCGATTGCTCCATGAATTCATTCATGAATAAGTAAAAACAGCTTTTGATCAAGCTGACATAAAACAAAATGATCATCTCTACGTAAGTGAACTTAAAAATTCCATCCGTAATTTAAATTTATATTTGCTTAATCGATAAATACTTGAAAGTAATCAAGACTTATGTTTAATTTCAAAAATGTAGTCACTTATCTTAGTTGTCGATGTCTGCGTAAAAAATAAACCGATCGAGTCTATTGACTTTGCACTTTTTTTACGAATATTGTGAAAGTTTTACACCGTCATGAGGCCTATTATACTACAAAAATCCAAGCCAATCCATTATATTACTTATACACCAATGATTTCATAGTTTGTATATCACTAAAAGATTGCGAATAAATATAATTTTACTATTTTTCTTTCATTGTTAATATCGTGTTATATATTCGACTAAAGTACTGACAATATTGCTTCATCAGTCTGTTGAAATTATATCACTTGAATTATTTTATTGAACCCGAATAATTATTTTCTAACCTCTATTATATGTAAAATTTCACCTCTGAACTTTGATAATAATATATGTAAGAAAACATCTCTTTCAATTAAAATAATTCAACAGAACATTTTTCTACGACTTGGTACTTTCATACAACCCTTCCATATTCATATCGACTTGCATCTGGTAACATTTAAGTATGCTAGTTTTGGAGCCCTTGATGAGTTGTGTAGAAATTGATATTTAATTTTGTTTCACATCATGAGAGAAGTGTATTATAGCAGGTGTAAAAGTCAATTTTATCGAAAAATGCCACGGAAAAACTGTATGTATCATTATTTGTGAACTTCTTCTTGGAATTCGAATTTAGATAACGGATAGAGCATAAAAAGTTATCTTTTTATACAATAATTATCAGAACTATATCTTTAGAATTTATTATTTGGGAGCATTTACAAAATTGAGAAAAATGACATTTTATGCTAACATTGAACTTCTTATAAAATTGATACAACTCAGTAAAACTTAAAACCTTCCTAATCCTAAATCTTTGAATCTAGAGAGTTCGGGCGTCTCGAAATATAACTTGTTAGACTCCGATATTCCCAAAAACTACGGCTAAGATATTTTTGAATGATCGAGCTCCTTCAATTTTCCCTACAATCGAAGCCCAAAGGTTGTAGTTTAATATGCTTCGTTGTACAAGACTAGAGATTAACAACTGAATATAGAGTACTTTTTATGCTGAAGACAAATAGATAAGAGAGAATCGTCGTAAAACAATTGTTGAAAAACTTGGATCTAGTTCTTTTTCGGATCGATTTCCTATAATAGACTTCTTTGACAATTGTCGTTATTCATTTGCGTATTATGTTCGACCAATAGGTGATGTTCTTTACCTGTCTATACTTCTCTATGTTGTACACTTCTATAAAACTATTAGAAAGTAGTGATTCCTAAATAGTTGATGCTATGGAATTCTATGTTTTTTTAAGTATACAATGCTAAAATCCCTAAAATACACAGGTTTACGGTGACTCGCTGTGAGGTATCGCGAGTCTTTTCTCTATGTCTATCAACTCTTGTTGTGTTATAACAAACGTTGGTAATTTCGATTGAAAAACTAAAACGACTAACAATTCTAATTGGTTACTATGAGTATAAAGTTAAATCCGACTTTTTCTACCAAAAGTTTTGGCTATTGATCAATCGTAAGCTTTGTTATGTTCATACATCAATGTTTATTTTCTTTATTTTTCGACACATATCGATTTAGCCACACTGACTATGCTGCTTCATCGCTATTATTAGAGGTGCAGAATCTGCCGCTAAAACAAAAAATCCCCCTCACTATTAAATTCAAGAAGAGATCCTTTTGGAAAATTGTGAAATTTTTTCCTGAGAGGAAAAAGTAACGAATGCCATATAAAAAATGGTCCAATTTTATTTTTTTTAATCTTCGAAGCATTTAACAATTATTTTAATGATTGGTTTTTATGCCACTAGCTAGAGAATTTAATTTTCTACAAAACTGTACATAGTGAGCTACCTAATGGACATTAGGTGGAAAATTGAAAGCCTACTTTTGCAAGATTCAAACAGTGTTATACGTACTTCAAACTATAGACTATTTAATGGTATTAAAATTTTTGTTGCGAAATACAAGTAGACTGGAAAATCATCTGAATAAAAGATTACCCCGAAAATAGTGCCATCTATGTAATTCACATTTCTTTTACAGAATCCACGGAAGTGACAAATGAAAACAATACATGCTATAAATTTGCATAATGTCAGCTACCGATTAATAAAAATAAGTGTTCAATTACCAGTGATCTTTCCTGAGAATAAGATTTTCTTTTTTTCTCCTCTGTGATTTTTCAAACGAGTCCATAAGTAAAATGAGCGCTCCCTTCACACTCTAGTTCGATACTGATTCAGGTTTTTCCAGAACGTTCTCTCATATTTCATCTATCACTACAATTAACATACATATTCCTGGATCCTACATGAAGAAGGGCTTTCAAAAAATTCATGGCTTCTCAGATGGTTCTAATTTTTTTCAACGCAGAAACATTTTTATTCAATAAAAAGATCATATTCAGAATCAGCACGAGAAACTGCATCGAACCATATGCGATAGAATCATGTTTATAGGAAAATATTTTTCTTCAGATTTTTTCATCATGAGAATTAAAAGAGAAAATTAAACTTTTTAGAAAAGAATCTGCTGAAATTTGATTTATGCTACAATATTACATACAAACTGCTGTAACTTTTGGTGTAACTTTCAAAGTGTTAGAACAAATATTTCGGAGAAAAATTTTCGAAATAGAAAATATCGGAATACCAAAAAAAAAAGCTGGTTTCGCACAAATCTTTAATATCGTTTTCGATTGATTTAAAGTAGTCTATATGTTTTAACTGTTTAAGTGAACACATGCACAATTATATACAGAATTTAATTGTACATCCGATGGTACAAGAATCAGCATTTTACAGGATGAATCTGATCTGTGATTAGATAATTTTTCTTAATGCATCTAAAAATTTCTCTAGATGTTAGTTCGCAACTTTTTTTCATCCTGAACAAAACATTCAAAACCATACTAAGATTGTAAGCATGTCGAACGAAAAATTCTCTATGTTTTGATATACAATGCTTAGCTATTGGAATTGGCCTAGATGAGTACATGCTGATATAAATCGTTTTTTATTGGTAGAAAAATAAGAATTCGCAGTTTAACAATTCAATAGGTTTTCATCTTATAAAGTTTAGGGATTCCCGCTCTTCGCCAATAATACTTTCGCCAATTATTGGCGAAAGTTGAATGGATGTTCCCGAAGTACTGCAGAACAAGATGAAGGCGACACATATGCGAGAACTATGCCTAATATTATTAAAATGTACCTTGATGTATACACTTGGAGTATTTGTAAATATGATAAGATCAGGTTTTAGTCATAAGATGCTGGAGTAGAAAAGAAACAGTAGATAATATGATGTCAAAGAATGTAGGAATAAGAAAGAGAAAAAACATATAATAAGTGACAAAAAAAGCGAGAATTAGATAAATAAAAAATTCATCAAGAAGAATTTAGTCACAGTTTGGGAATAAACTTGATGATGAGCATGATGAGTCAGGTGTTGAAACATTATATTTATTTTGTCTTTTTCTTCCTCGACAAACAGGTTCACCAACAAGGTGAACAAGAGACATTAATGTGCCAATTAAGGATCTTTTCTTTGAATGAAATAAATCTAATAATTTCTCAATTCGTTTACTTTTACGTACTACCCCACAAGTCGTGACAAGCATTCATTAAACAATGATCATCTGAAAAATTTTAAATCGTAACATGTGTGAGTCAAATTTCCTACTAAAAGATTGATGTAATTATACATTTAGGATGTTGTACATCACACTAGTTAATTCACAGTTATTTTAGATCAGTTAGTCTAATAAAATCTAAAACTATAAACAAAATTTATGATTATGACATAGATGAATAAAATCTATGAATGCATGTGATATCAATCTCTCCAGTCAACGACAAAATTACATTCAATTTGGAGAAAGTTCGATGGACTTTCACCAAGATTGGTAAAATTTTAGTGGATCTTCGCCAATATTGGCGAAAGTATGGATGTACACTGGTGAAAGTTCAGTGTACTTCCGCCAATTAGCGAAAATACAGTAGACATTCGCCAATGGCGAAAGTTCAGTTTGCGAAAATCTTATTGGCGAAAAGTGGGTTAGCCAAAGTTTATGCCTGCATGAAAAATCTATTTGAAAAACAATCTCAACAGTTTTGTAGAGAAATAAATTCTTTATCTAACGAGATCAGAACTAAAATTCGAACGAGTGTTAA